CCGGGCAGCGTGTCAAGGTGAAGTATGTTCTTAGCCAGGCAGCGTGTGAAGGGAAAGTATGTCCTTAACCAGGCAGCGTGTGAAGGTGAAGTGTGTTCTTAACCAGGCAGCGTGTGAAGGTGAAGTGTGTTCTTAACCAGGCAGCGTGTGAAGTATGTTCTTAACCAGGCAGCGTGTGAAGGTGAAGTGTGTTCTTAACCAGGCAGCGTGTGAAGGTGAAGTATGTCCTTAACCAGGCAGCGTGTGAAGGTGAAGTGTGTCCTTAACCAGGCAGCGTGTGAAGGTGAAGTGTGTGCTTAACCAGGCAGCGTGTGAAGGTGAAGTATGTTCTTAACCGGGCAGCGTGTGAAGGTGAAATATGTTCTTAACCGGGCAGCGTGTGAAGGTGAAGTGTGTTCTTAGCCGGGCAGCGTGTGAAGGTGAAGTGTGTTCTTAACCAGGCAGCGTGTGAAGTTGAAGTATGTTCTTAGCCAGGCAGCGTGTGAAGGTGAAGTGTGTTCTTGACCAGGCAGCGTGTGAAGGTGAAGTGTGTTCTTAACCGGGCAGCGTGTGAAGGTGAAGTGTGTTCTTAACCAGGCAGCGTGTGAAGTTGAAGTGTGTCCTTAACCAGGCAGCGTGTGAAGGTGAAGTGTGTCCTTAACCATGGCAGCGTGTGAAGTATGTTCTTAACCAGGCAGCGTGTGAAGGTGAAGTATGTTCTGGAGAGCCCGTTTCAGCCTCCTGTGACACAGGTAGAGTGACTGTGCTCTGAAGACACCGTCTCACAGCCCAGCATAGCTTGTCTACTAGCCTCGTGTCTGGAGGATGCAGGTGTGCCCCCTGCGCACCTCCCCCCGTACCTCTTTCTGCAAAGAAGCGGAAGTTACACCCGCCAAAACTAAAAACGCTTCAGATTGAAGTTACTCAAAAAGGGGAGGACTATGGTCTTGAGAAACATGTAATAAGATAAGTTCCAGAGCTGTAACAATTTAATGTTATTTTAATGTGATTGTGCAGTCCACCTTAACTCTTGAAACATAATAGAACCGGGGTTTGGGGAATGGTCCGGTGGAGAGCTGCTCAATATGCACATGCCTGGGGTCAGCCTCCGGCAGTACCGCCATCTGTAATGAACGGATATGAAGTAGAAAATGCCTGCTATACAATAAAAATAACAATAACAAAGTAAGTGTAATCATTTAGTAAGCATAAGTCTCAGAAAGAGAAGTGGGAGAAGGTCCAGAGAGTGGAATGGTGAGCTCTAAAAAGTGGGTGTCTTCTGACAAGTTCTGAGTGTCTTTTTAAAGACAATTTTATGGCTCATCTCAGAGCCTGTGTAACTTGGGTATCAACTCGTGGCTGAGAGGACATCAAGTCAGGTGATCACACTGTACTGTGTCCTCCACCGAAGGCCACCAGCACTGAGGCGCATGCTGCCACATCCGGTTGGCACTGTCAGACTTCGGGTGATTTGGAGTTGCATGCTGAGAGGACCTTGGCGCTGCTAGAATTTGGAATGGATTCATTTCGGGGGCAGTTTTGACCCAGAACTGGTCCCTCGGATGCTGCTGCCACCCCTGTGTCCAGCCCCACCTGATTGCTTTCTGTGTGGGACACAACTCAAAGAAGGAGAGGCTTTTTTGGGGCATAGTTCTAGGGATTCAGGCCATGGTTGGCCACTCCAAGATGGGAACATCATGGCGGAAACGCAACAGGGAGCAAAGCTGCTTAGTTCACGTTGGCCAGGAAGCGGAGCAGGGGGACAGCACCAAAGAGGAAGGGACAGAGACCAGACACAGACCCGAGGCCCCGCCTCCCTGACACCAGACACACCCATGGGGTGCCCCACCAGTGCCCTGGACGGCTCTCAACCCAATCAACTCGACACAGTCAAGCTTAACTGTCACATTGACCTCCTCTTATTTTCTGCTGTTGTTCAGGAGGTTTGGTTTATTTTTAATTTTAATTATGTTTTATTAGTGCTTACTAATTTTACCCAGTACTGGGTTATATTGTGTATATTTTTACCACACCCATCCCCCATCACCCTTCTTTACCCCTCTCCTCTCACAACCCCTTCCCTTGTCTAATAATAGCCTGCCTTCTGCTTTCCTGTCATCACTTTGGATCCCGCAGATTAGGGAGAACACGTGATGCTTATCTTTCTGAGACTGCATTTCAGTTAACATGTGGTGTTAACCAGAGTGATTCCTGTACCCTGGCTCAGCGCAGCCCTGGGCCCGCGGTACACATCAAGGATGATCTCTGCTGAGTGCAGCTGGACTGTACAGCAGACCGACGGCGATGCCCGTACTCTGAGTTGTAAACTGGATGCTGTGAGAGAGGCCACACCCTCCGCAGGCTCCCAGAGCTCCCTGTGATGGAGCCAGGATATCGGCCCATGGCTGTGTGGCCAGCTGGGCAGGTGTATCGGGCAAGCCAAGCTGGTGGGGGGGGCTTGCGGCCAGACACCAGTGTAAGAATGTGACAGGCGGGGCTGTGGGCGTGGCAACGTGGAACCTTGAACTAGCTGACAAGGGTGGGGAGAGAAGACCACTTTTCTAGTGGGGCGAACTAGTGATTGCAGGCCCTGAGCCTAGGGATGGAAGAGGAGCCAGTGGTGGAGGGCGCAGAGTGCCATGAGCCTTATCTGCATGTGGAGACCCAGCGGCCCTGGCCCCAGTTGAGCAGGGGAGCATTCAGAGGTCCCTGCGGTCAGCAGCAGCAGGAGGACGAGGAAGGCTGGCTGCAGACAGGAGCCCCGGCGTGAGGAGCAGCAGGAGGAAGAGCAAGAAGGGCGAGCAGGGAGGAGAGTGCCGGGAGGACGACAGAGTGCCTGGCAGTGTGAGTCACCAGCCAGCCCAGGGGCAGAATCTCAGGCACCTCTGCTTTGAGGGGATGGCACAGCTGCCCACCATGCCTACCATGCCCACCATGCCCACTGCGCCCTGGGGGAGGCCCTTGCAAGGGAACAGCTGTGGCGGTGTGGTTCCTCCTAGGCCCAGAGAGGACAAAGGCAGGGGAGGGGCCGCCCAGGCTGTGCCCGAGGGTCCCGGGCAAGGCGCTCTGCTGGGTCACTGGTCCTCAGTTGTCCACTGCATGAGCGTCCACTGCATGAGCGTCCACAGGTATGGACCTGGCCCCGTCCCTGTGACTCCCTGGTGGTGCTGTTGCACAGAGCTGAGATTTGGAGTGAAATTCTTCGGTGATGAGCAGGATGTGAAGTTGTGACTGGGAGAGAAAGCAGACGCTCTGGCTGGCTCAGGTCCGAGCAGTCCCCAGTCCTTTGCAGAGCTCAGACTCGACTGGCACAGCCTGAAATGGGCCCAGGACATGGAGGGTGGGATCAGGGGATTCCCAGGGTCCCACGAGGTAAATGAGACAGAGAGGAGCCTGAAAGGGCCGGTTCCCACCTCAGCGTGAGCCCTGGGGTCGTGTTTATCACACTCAGGACCTGTGTTGGGAGATTGGTTTCACGTGGAAATCAGCTCTTTTACTGAAAAATAAGTGCCACTGCGGACAGCGGGTAGCGCCTTTAGCCTCCCACGCCTAGTGCTCCACAAGGCGCCGGCAGAGGCTGCGGTTCATGAGCTATGGTGGGAGGTGGTGGGCGTCTGGAGGTCGGTCAAAAGGAAACAGAAGTGTGTTTACAGCCTGTGGGGCCCCGGGGCCGGGTGCACCAGGTGGTGGAGCTTTCGTGTAGCTCCATCCGCAGCACCTGCCAGCACCCATCTCCCCAGTGGGAAACTTGGGAGCCATGGCTTGGCACAAAGCACTGTCGCCAGGAGAGCTGTGAGCTTGGCTTATTTACGCTCTTCCAAGAACAGTGTCAGTTTTCACAGTTCTGACCGGGTGGTGTGGTTTGGCTTTTAGTTGTGATGGAAGTGGCCGTGGAGCCTTTAACCTGCCCACCACAGAGGCTGCGTCTCTCAGCTGCTTCTGGGAGCCTCGCCAGGATGCAGGGAGATGTGCACGGGTGAGGGGGGACAGCAGGACCTCAATGACTTCCTCTCCCCCGGAGCATGGTTCCTGACAGGGAGCCCAGGATTGGCAGGGCAGCGCCCAGCCAGGCAACTTCAGGAGCCGTGGGCAGCTGGTAGACGGAGAAGACACCCTTCTGCATCCTGGGCTGTGTCCACCGTCCCCAGAGCTGTCCCCAACATGCAGTCGCACGCCCCAGTACCTGGCTCCGTCCGTGCTTAGCCTGCAAGCTTGTCCTTGGTTCTGCACCTCCCTCGGGGCAAAGGCCCACACCAGCCATGCAGGGTGGCCATGGCTCATGACCTCAGGGGCACCCGGTGCCACACGACTTCACCGAACTCCCTGGAGTGTTTCCCTGTGCGTGAGGACGTGAGATAAGGTGTGGTTTACAGGTGAGCAACAGGCCCGACCGACCGACGCAGTAGGGCTGCAGCAGTGCGCTGTGGAGAAAAGTGTGCATCGGAATGGCTCGCTTCTGGAATTCTTCATCGGGTATTTTTGGAGCTCGAATGACTGGAGAATGGAGCTGTGGATAAAGGAGCCATCAGGAGGTGAGCCTACTCGGGAGTGACTGTTGGCTCCTGGGTACACGGGGGCAGAAGGGGCCGGAGCCTCCTGGGGAGGCTGGCAAAGCCTGCTATCTGGAGCACTTTCCACTAAAGGCCTGAATTTATGGAGTACATTTCTGTTCCTGAAGTTGACGCGTACAACGCGCCCATCCAAGGGATTCGCTGGAGCAGCGTGAAGGCCCCACCTGGAGCAGCACCGCATTCGGTGCCTGGTTCTGGGAGTGGTCCTGCCGTCTGCTTGTTCAGCTCTGTTTCCAGTGGTCTCTTGTGGTCAGGCGTGAGGCCCAAGAGAGTGTCCTTGTTTCTAGGGCGGATGATGCTTTCTCAGAAGTAACGCCCAGCATGCGGGTGTGGGCAGGAGGGTGCGGGCATGCAGGGCCGGGTCGAGCTGAAGGCTGCACTGTCAGGAGCCCTGAGCCTGAGGCTGGGAGTGGTCTGGGGTGCTCCTGGGCCCCCTACCTGAACTCCTGTGCATTATCCCGAGCTCAGGTCACTCTGACTTCACCCAGTCACAGCCCACAGATGGAGGGCTTCGAGAGCATCTCCGGCCCTGCTGTCAGTGGCCCTGCTGTCCAGTGGCGCTGGCATTCTTCAGTGGAGTCTGAGTGCCCAGGGCACAGGGCCAAGTCACACTGCATCATGCACACCACGGATCACACCACAGGTCACACGGGGACTCCATGGCCAACATGGATCACACTCTGGACCCACCCTAGACCTGTCAGTCCCTTCACAGGCCGAGCCAGTCACGTGGCCACTGTGGGATCTTTGGGTGCCACTACCCACATCGCGCCTGTTCCTTCATCTCAGTATTTTCTTCTCAGAGCTTCTCTTAAATGGAAGGGTTTCCTCAGTCCTCTAAAACTATTAGTAGGAGTAAAGGTTAAATTGTTTACCAAAAGATTTTTAAGGTTTTAACAACTTTTCTGAGATTATAATTGATATCTGAAGCATTATCGAAATATACAGTGAATGTTTTAAATTTTGAAAAATATATTACAGTGAAAGACACACAGCATAAGTTCCCCCTCCAGAATCTCCCCCTTGCTTCAGACACACTGATGCCATCGTCCTTGCTACTTTCTGCAGCAGCTCTGGAGTCCTCTCTCTCGAGGGTCTTTAGTTGGGCTGTTGAGGGTGCCTCGGTGTGCTGAATGGGTTCCAATGACCTTTCTTGGTCATGCTGACTTGGGGAAGAACCAGAAGTTGCACAGTGCCAGATCAGTGAATAGGGTTGACGAGGACACTCTCACGTTCCTACAAGCCTGCCTTTCAGTAGGGAAGCACAAGGCAGCAGCACTCACCGTATTTCTGATCACACCTCATAAAGGCGCTATGAAAGAGGACTTCCAGAGCTGCTTCAGAAAGTGGTGAGAACAATCGGATGAAAACGTTCTAAGTGAGAGGGAGGATTTTCTGGGGATTTATGGCAGTGTGTCTTTATTATAATAATTTCATAATTTAAACATTGCATGTTCAATCATATGTGAAATTGCATAAATTTATAGTTTTATTTTGACACAAGCATACGCCTGTGAAATCATCACTACAATCAAGATAATGAGCATGTTTCCCCTTGTCTTGGTTTCCCACTGTGATAAGAACACTGAGCGTGGGCCCTCCCCTCTTTGCGCA